AGAAAAGTTAAAGTCATCACGTTTATCATATAGCTTGGTTGTTAGATTACCATTAGTGTCTTTTTCAAGTAAAATATCCAAGTATGAAGCAGAAGTGTCGGACACTGTGGTATCTTTTATCTCAAGCTCACCAGGATATATCGTGTCGACGTAGGAATGGAAATTATCATTATTAATTGACAATACGTCGTCGATATATCTAAATGTCGAGTTGAAGGCCACAGCAAGTGTTTTCTTCTTTTCACGCAAAAGATTTTGCATAAATTCTGCTTCATATGAATATAAAAATAAGTCTGCTAATAACGGAGCGCAATTTGTACCCATGGGAATTCCAATAGATTGTTGGAATACCTGGTCTCCAAAAACCACATAGATATTGTCAATCAGAAACTCAAGCATCTTCTTGATGTCAACTTCAGAGTACTTGTGTGTGCAATCAGAATCTGTTTTAACAAAATAATTTTTCAAATGACCAATGACGAGGTAAGTAAACTTACGAGTTCCATTCTTGTTGAAGAAGCAGCTGTCAATGATATCAAAAAGCCTGGATTTTAATTTGTCGTGGGGAATAGTTGTGTATAAAGTTGAAAAATCGTAAGTTTTTATGCTGTTGATTTTTGTAAAGTCTTGTGATTTCAAATTGTCCAAAAGTTCTTTAGAATTTTTAAGTATCCACATCTGATTTACACCACTTCTTGAATATATAGTTGTACAGTACTCTTGAAGTTTTTCCTTCACTACTGTCAATATTTTAGTGAGAAGTAACGAAAGAGGCTTGGTTGAACATTTACTGGAACCTGCAATGTATCTTTGTTTGTAAGGATTCTTATGAAGTTTCGGAATCCAATATATATAAGGTAGTTCAAATTCATTTTGGCTCTGTGGAATATTAAAAGTATTCAAAACTGACAGGTGATTTTGAAGAATTTCTTCCTTAGAAAGAGAAGTATATGTATAAGTAGGATTACCACTTGTAGAATTAAATCCAAGTTCTTCTGAATATGAAACACAAACTTTATAACGTACATTTTTATACAATAAGAAAAATTGTTCTAAACAAAAGGGCTTGTCGTTGTGTCGATAGTAAATGAACAGCGACTTTGTATATTGTAATGCAAAATAAACACTTTTTTAAAGATGTACATCATGAAAGTAAAAATATGATTTTTTTTTCGTAATATATAAAGGGAAAGAACATTCTAGTGTATAGACTTTTTAATGTGTAGTTAAAATTCAATGATGACCTCAATCCCATACACCTAAACAAACTCATATGTATACGCAATTGTATAAAATATGCAATTACATCCAAGTCTGAATATCGTTTGCTTTAACTTAGAGGGCATGGAAAGAAAGACAACTCTGAATTATCTGCCTGAGATATACATGGAAATTAATTTATCTTTAAAGATGAAATGGGGTGGGAATGGGGGTACTGAGTATGTACTATAAAGTGTGTTGACCCCTTTCATGCTTTGTTTAAATATCCTTTTTTCCTAGAAAAAAATCATTTCTAACCTAAAATCTTGGTATATCCGATTTGTCAATGTATCAAAAAGAGAAGTCAGGATGTATTATTATAAAATTAAAAAAAAACAGGAAACAGTTTCTGAAAGGCTTTGTAAAAGTCTGCAATTAAAAATTTAGTAATGATAAACATATTGATGTCCTTTTTAGCATAACCTTTACAGTAGAAGTATTCTACTTCGTATAGTAAAACATTGAGTATGTTTATAAAGCATTGTTTCTTTTCTATTTCTTCGGTACAAATTAAAAGAAAACGATTTAAGTATGAATCTTCATCTTCCTACTTTAGATGCTTCAAGAATATTCAGCTTAGATGATCCCAAATTCTCTTTTTATGGATTCCACTACTAAAAAGAAACGAAAAACACATTGAAAATTGAACATAAATGATATATCAATTTTGTGAAAAATATATTCAAGTAGACCAGAAGGCTCAAATTTATGTCATGCTAAACATTCGGTTTCTGAAATCATAAAGGTTATCATAGAGTTATAGAGTTAGTAAAACTAAGCGAAAATATCTACAAACCTGGAGAAATTTTTGTTTGCTCTCAATATGGCGTAGAAAAAGGAGAATTTCTCTTTCTTAATATTACCATAAATATTTACATAAGATAAGAAAAGAGTGACATTCTTTAATGTTGACAAAATGAGCTTTTCTACATTCAAAATCTATATTTACTAAACACTGATTTCATAACGACATTTTAAAGGAATATATTTCTTTTATCTTTTTTCTAACAAGAGGTCCTTTGGCCACATCGCTGACCTGATCACTGGAACTAGGAAAAAGTAGAAATTGGTGTTATTTGGAAAAGTTTAAATCCAAAAGTATCTCATGACAAATCATGCCTTTGGTTTTCTTGAGAAGAAAATTTTTAAAGAATTTTCCTACATATATCTATGTAAAAAAAATTGATCGGCAATTGTGGCCCAGCCCTACCCCAAGGGGTCATGATTTTAACAAACTTGAATCTTCACTATCTGAGGATGCTTCAATATAAATATGATCAATTATGTCTTTGTTATTCTTGAGAAGAAGCTTTTAAAAGAATTTTCCTATTTATTTCTATGTAAAAATTTAGTCGGCCATTGTGGCCCCGCCATACCCCAGGGGGGTCATGATTTTAACAAACTTGAATCTACACTACCTGAGGATGATTCTATATAAAAATGATCAATAATGGCTTCTAATTCTTGAGAAGAAGATTTTAAAAGAATTTTAGATATAAATTCTATATATTTCTATGTAAAACTTTGCTCAGCCATTTTTGTTCCGCCCTACCCCTTGAGGTCATGATTTGAATAAATTTGACTACACTACCTGAGGATGTTTCCCAATAAGTTTCATCTTTTCTGGCACAACGGTTATTGAGAAGAAGAGTTTTGAAACATGCCACCAAATTTTCATAAATTCCCAATTATCTCCCCTTGAATGAGGGCCTGAACAAACTTGAATTCTCTTCATCGAAGATTGCTTTGTGAAAAGTTTGGTTGAAATATGCCAAATGGTTCTTGAGAAGAAGTCGAAAATGTGAGATGGGGGGAAGGTCATGGAATATATATTTTGGCTACTTTATTACAAAAATAAGATAACACTGAAAGTCAGGACTGTGCATCTAAGGCAAACATTTTTGATAAAAAAAAACTATAAAAATGGAGAAATATTCCAGTCACAAACACAAAAAACACACATTCTTCAAATATACATGGTATTTATCCAAAATATATATGGTTTTGATCCCCAAAAGGATAGATACCCACCTACCCCCCTTTTTTACCCCTACTTTTGTGAGGTACATTTTTAAACTGTTTGATTAAACATGCATAAAAGATCACTAAACCTTTTATGTTTGTTGTGCATAACTGAATAAGCATTAAAAAGTACGTGCATCATGCGTTAAACTCTCACCATTTCCCTGATACTAATTAATATAAAGAATTTTAATAATAAAATTAATGAAGTGTTCTTAGTAAAAAGCAAATTTAGATAATTAAAGAATGAAGCTAATTTCAACTTATGTTATCCGATATAACATAACTTGGGGCAGTTTACGCTTTATAAACCGCGAAGCGGTTTATAAGAAAGAGTAAACTGCCCCAAGTTATGTTATATCGGATAACATAAGTTGAAATTAGCTTCATTCCTTATAATTTAATTTCAGTGTAGACAATAAGACAATATTTCCTCTGGAAAAAGGCCTCAAATTGAGCAATATTTTAAAAGTAACGTCAAGCGGAATAATACGTTTTTGACGTAACTTATTGTGACGTAGGCAAGTTATGTTACACAAAATGTTATATGTTCCTCTGAATGATTCAGTCGATGAAATTGCTTGATACAAGTGAAATTAAATTATATTTAGATGAACAAATTTCTAAAGTAAATTTTATATTGTTTAACTATGCACACCAATATTCATGATTTACATATACAAATGCACTTCTTTTCAAATAAATATTACACGAAATATTGCAATTTTAAACTACATGTAATATTGTAATCTTTGAAATCTTTTGTAAATATTTTATTCTAATAATATAACTGAATTACTGAATTAATTGTGTATTGATTGCATTGGTGTCGGAAGCAAATTGAAAGTGTGTGTGTGTGGGGGGGGGGGGGTAATTGAAAAAAAAAATGAAATCTGAAATAAATTGTCAAGAACCAAAAAATAATTGTCCCTTGTCCAAACTAGTAGTCCAAACCCGAAAATCCTATGGGGAGGGGGGATGGAGGATCCAATTTCTTATTTTTTTCAAAGCACTAACCACTTACTCTTCATTGTTTGTCTGCACTGTAACGTGCATGTTGAAGGAGGCGGGTAAACCAATTTCACTTTCTTCAATGCCTATAACATGTCTTTTGCAAAAACATGGGGGGAGAGGGTAAGCATTCCGATAACCTCCCCCTTTCCGACGTCTATGGATTAAATCACAGTTGTAAAAACCAAGTCATAAATATGTCTTTTACTGCTGTTTAATTTAGAGCCGGTTTCATGTTCAAAATTCCACGATCCGGCTCAGTTTTTAACCGACTAGGGTCAAAATGCAAGACTTTTGGTCTCACTATTCAACGTTGAAAAAGACCCCCCAGGTCAATTTTCAACCCTTGTGAAAATTCAACGTTACAAAAATGTGATCAGAAAAGATCATTTAAGCCTTTTTCTCAGGTGAGCCAAAAACTATGAAATGTCTTCTAATCTTCCATTTACTTCAGAAAGATCTCTTGTGTATAACACACCTGTTTTTACGGTTTGTTAGAAATATTGGCTTTTTTTTTTTTACATAAAGATGTGTTTTTCCAAATCGGTTACCTAAGGAACTCTTCTGTGGAATTTTTTTTTTCAATATTTTTTTAACGCACACATGTATTTTTTCTTTATAAAAACAAGGAAGAAAACCAAATTCTTGCTTATCTTTGATATCTTACATTTTTTTTTTGTTGGGAGTGTCTTAAGAAAGTTACTTTTTTACGATTTACAGTCCTCCACTAGTTTCCACATTCCGTTTGCTGCTGTCTGGCAATTGGCTCCGATGACTTTGTAGGGTTTTGATACCAGGCCATTCTTCATAAATGTATTCAGTGTGAGTCCAGAGTCCTTGAGCGACTTAGATTCGAGCTGACTCCATCTGTAAATGTGTAAAGTTAGTTTTCATGAGTAAATATTTTTTCTCTAAGAAGGTTAAATTGCTATTAGAATCAATGTGTGGATCTACACCATCAAAAATACTTGTGTATAGAGGTTTAAACAACCTCATTAAATTGTAAGTGTTTGGAGGACTTTAAAATGCAAGGTAAAAATGTATTATGTATGAATAACTTACTTAGAGGACATGTAGCTAGCATCTCTTATGACGGTGGAGGGTGCATCTTGCTTTGCAAATTCCTTTCCCTTGTGTATCAACCATCGGTCTCCGTTCTCTACGGTAACGACAACTCCTGCATGGCGTGGGTAATAGTCAAAGTTTGTATTCATCCCTGTCAACAATGAACTGCGGCTGCTAGATTTGCCAGAGCTGCTACTTCCAAATGAATTTATGGGCCTGAGTGTAAAGATTTCATTATTATTATTTCAGTAGTATGTGACATTTTTTGGTCTCGTAAGTCAATTAGGTGAATTTCTATCTGTTGTCATGAAGAATGTGCCTCGTGCATAGAATTGTCACTTTTTGACTTCTTCCCAAGAACCACTGGGGCCATTTTCACAAAACTTACAAGAGTAACCTTTGCTAAGGGTTATTTCATTTTTTTTTCGTTCAAATTTAGGGTAACGCCTTCTTTCAAGGGGAGATAATTCTGAATAAGTGAAAAATTGTTGGCATCTTTTTGAGAATCATCTTCTCAAGAGCTGGACCAGGCACGATGAAACTTTTATGGAAGCATCCACAAGTTGTGAAGATTCAAGTTTGTTAAATCATAACCCCCAGGGGTAGATTAAGTTCACAAAGGACAAATAATATTATTACATATGAATATTTAAGAAAAATCTTTTTTTTTTAAAGTTCTGCTCCAGAACCATCATACCAAGAAATTTAAAAGTCATATGGAAGCATCCTCAGTTTGTGTGAATCTAAATTTGTTCGAACCGTGACCCCAGGGTAAGGTTAAGGTTTAACCACAATGGACAATCAAAGTTTTACATGGGAATACATTGGAGAAATCTTCTCCAGAACCAATGGGCCAAGGAATATGGAACTTGTGATGAAATATCATCAGGTAGTGTTGATTTAAGTCAAATCATGAACCTTGGGATTAGACTATGGCCACAATGGGCAATGAAAGTTTTACTATGGAATACTAAATCACTGGAAAAATATTGAAAAAATCCTTTTCTCAAAAACAGCAAATTCATGATTGGTTATATTTACATGGAAGCATCCTCAGGTAGCAAACTTTCCAGATTGTTCTAATCATGACTCTAGGGATAGGGTAAGGCCACAATGGTTGATCAAAGATTTACATATGAATAAGTAGGAAAGATTTTTAAAAACTTCTTTTAAGAAAAAAAAAACAAAAACAAAGATATGATTTTTCTTATATGAAAGCATAATTGGGTAATATTAATTCAAATTTGATCCAAACAAGAGCCTTTGGGGTGAGAAGGGCACTCAACAGGTGATCACAGTTTTAGTGAATATATAGATCATTTTAAGATCTTCTTCTCAAGAACAGCAAAGCCACGATTGGTCATTACAGAATCTTTTTTTTATAAATTTTCCCGACACCTTATTTTTTGCTAAATAGTCATTGACTTTTTATATATAAGCAAGATAAAACATTCAAGAATTGTGGTAATTGCTTCATGTAACATCTTTAGGAATGCTAACGAACATTAGAATGACATTTTTTCGCGAGCACATTTTCTCGCATAATTGCACGAAAATAAAATTCTTGCAAATACAAAGTGATTTACGGTAGTGTTCATTCAAAGTTGTTTAAATCATGGCATACGAGGGTAGGATAAGACCATTAAACAAAAATATAACTTATAGAAAAAAATGTCTAATATTGGGTACAAATTAAAACTGAATTTATAATTTGTTAATGAATATTAGACTAAATACCAGCATATCGATTATCTTGATTATCCTATTTCTCCTGCTTTTGGGCAACAAACCTTAGTCTATCAGTTACTTTCTTTCCCCATGGATCTTCTATGGATTGTTATTTTATACTAAGGTGTCTGTTATGGTCATTTGGCTTCTTGTATGCTCTACAGCAAAAACAATTTATCATTGAGTCAAATGCTTACTGACGTTTTTCATACCAATTGTTAGTCCATTATTTATAAAATGACTTGACGACGGATTTTTTCCGTTATTTCCTGATCATGACAAGGAGCACACGGCGAGTGTGACCGGTCGGCAGAGGATGCTCACTCCTCCATGGAACCTGATCCCACCTCTGATGTTTCGAAGGTCTGTGTTTGCTCTGCTCTTATTTTGTATTTTGTTTAATGGACTCTGAGATTAAATACTGTTCGTTATTTCCATATCCTTCTTGTTATGTTGTCAAGATTTGATTTTCTTAAAGGGTGTCGCTGTAGGACGGCAAGGCGGACAATTTTCACAGCGCACCAATCCTGAACTTATAGAACACTAAGTGAAAATGAAATACAAAACGTTGCCAGGGATCCACGACCGAAGATTTCTCTGATGCTGTATTGACTATTGCTATTGCATTTTTGAATCTTGATAATGGAATCTTTGAAAAGAACAAAATCACAAATAAATAACAATATTTAAAACGAATCTTTTGTGGAACCTTGAGAGGCAAGTTAGTTTCTGATAAAGTAATTTCTCTTGAGCAATTAACTTTAGTATAATCTTTTTAAAAAATATTTAAGGCATGTCACTCGTCCGTTATCAAGGCAAATTTCATCAGAACACCTTGCTTCAAAACTCCCTTACAATTCAAACACCGCAAAGTGGTTTCTATATACGTTAAAGAAATACGCACACTAACTCTCGATTCCTTCCTACATTTTGCAATCATTTAATTCAATGTAGATTTAACATCCAAATAATATAATACTTTCTAGTGTAAAAGGTAACACAATAATTTATGCGCATTAATTGTTGTGATTGTTTAATAATACATATCATTCAAAGTATCTTAATAAAAGAAGATTATAATTATTACAATGATTACATCTGATAAAATAAGTTGAAGACAAAAGTGACTGTCATAAGAGTGAAAATTTAATTGCAAAATGGACAAGTTATTTGTACTGTTGCACAGTAAGATATACACTGACCTAAAACTTGCAATTGTGAATCATATTCAATGAGTAATAAAAAGGAATAATTTTTGGTTGACAAGTTTTCCTGTATGCTCATTGTTTAGGAGATTGATCCCTCGGAAGTTCCTTAACTTCTTGGGGATCTATCTTACAAACTTTAGCGTTGCAGAAAATCTTGCTTACCAAAAGTTATTCCTCTTTAAGTGTTTTCATGCGGATTTATGATATTTATTGCCACCATAAAGATTTTCAATTTTTGCACTGCAAATTTATACCCCATTCGGGATATTTTGTCATATTTAATGAATAATAATTTAACAAATACCTCTCAAAAATCCTTTTTATAGCTCATTTCACGAGTGACATAGCTTAAGAAAGAGCTTACCTTACCACGTAGTCTGCCTTGATTACTTTTGAATTGTAAAGATTATTTAATTCCGAGCGAGTTTTTAACTCTTTGCATGAGACCCCAAGAACAAACATAAGAGATATTGCGAGTGTTAAATCGATTATTATCATTTTGCTGGCATAAAATGCAGGTAAAAATTCACAAATTACTTAAACGTTCAATCAGAATTTAATATATCATTTGAGAATCTGTCCTTCAACTAAGTATATGCATGATGAGCATGTTTTTATAACAGAATTTAAAACGAAAGCACGGTTGATTGGATTTCACCGAAATTTGTATAACATCCAAATGTGTGCAAGATCAATACAAACAAGAAAAGGGTCTACTCATATATAATAAGGGAAACCCAGTTACGTCAATACATGGTAAACTGAGCCAAAATAATTTTTAAAAAGTCGTTTAAAGTCCGATGATTGCGTTTTGAAAATCAGGTCTTCATTTGTTGAAATGGCTCATAACATTGTTGTTATCCAAAGTTATTTTTAAAAGATCATTTTTTAAAGTTAAGGTAGGATTCTTCTTTGGTTTCTGCGTAGATGAAATATTCAATGAATATTTGCGTACATGACTTATATATTCAGGTGAAAGAGATTCAAAAGAACATGTTTTTTTTTCTTTCTTTTCTCATCACAATTGTACGAAAACTAGCAGGGAATTTAATTTTGGCGGAAAATTGGCGTATGAAAATATCTTCTTGTCTGCCTCTCAAAATTATTATAGAACAATGAATTTAGGTATAATTTTCACACAATCAAAGACTTGAAGAATTTTTCTTTAGCTAATGTTATTCCGTAAAGAAGTTAATTTACTCTCTTTGTGAACTGTCAATTTTTTTTTGTTTTTTGATTATTTTCTATCTCTATTTTTCCATATGTGAAAAAAAAAATAAAGGGCGCTGATGAGAATAACTTAAATATCTTAGAAATTAAATAGCCAATGAAGGGTCTTCTCACAAGAATTAAATATAAGAAGTACGAAAGCTCTATCCTTTACCGTTCAAAAGTTATAGCCAAGGTTAAAGTTTTTTCATAAGTACGGAAATCTCCAAGGTTAAGGTCAAAAGGTCAAGATTGTTGGTATCCAATGAAAGGGCTTTCCATAAAGAATACAGATGTAAAGTATTAATGTCTTGGTATCTACTGTTTAAAAGATATAGCCAAAGTAAAGGTGTTAAAGTAGGTCAAACTCCAAGGTCAAGGTCAAAAGGTCAAATTTGGTGGTACTTAAAGAAAAGTCTTGTCACAAGGAATACACGTATGATATATAAAAGTCATAGCTCCAATAAATCAAAAGTTATGGGCAAGGTTAAAGTTTTTGCGGCTAGAGAGACAGCTAGACAGACGGACGGACACGACAAAAGCTATAAACCCCTGAAACTTAGTTTACGGGGGCATAAAAATCTTAAGGTAGTAATAGTTGTACTGGTTCAAATTGGGGCCCCAGGGGTAGGGCTGAACCATAATTTGTGAGGGGGTGTCAACTGAATGAATTAAAAAAATTATCTGCTCAATAACAGCAAAGTCAGTTGTTATATTGATATGGAAGCATCATCAGGTTGTTAAAATTCAAGCCCCCCCCCCCTCCCCGATGTAAACTCTCAATACTGAAGTGATTTTTGTTTTGTTTTTTTCTCTAGCCAGTGTGCTAAGGTGAGCAAAACCGCCCATGAGCCTTTTGTTTTTTTTTGCACTATTTTCGTGATGAATGCATCAGTATTTGACTACTTGATCATATACAGTAAAGCACGCATATAACGAAATATCAAAAACACCTATCTTGAAACAGTCCCTTTTACTTAAACTTTTACTATCTATGCTTATTTTTAATTTGAAAAACACTGTATCTGGTACAAGTATTTTAGTTAATTACAGGTATGCTAAGAAAATATAAAATTTTAAAATAATAATGTTTTCAGATATTGATTCCCATGGGACGTGGGTCACAAAAATCGTACTTTGAGACAATCCTTAGAGTATTATACGCAATTTATTTCACATAAATCCTACTTTATCACTATCCCTAGATTTTTAAACAAATTCAAATTATTATTTTTATTTAGTGTAAAAGTAAACTGAAGAATAATGAAAAAACGACACAATTTATATTGCCAAGGTATTTTCAATGAAAATTTTCCCCCAAAATATGCCATTCACCAGAGTTTGACACACACCCTTAAAAATTCTAGGTCGATGACCTATTTATTTTTTGGCATTATTTGCTACTAAATTATCTTGTTAACATTGTATCTTAATATGAATAAAAATTCTATTGCAGGATTTTTAAAATCATCACTTTTATACCAAAAACTCGCTTTTTCCCATTACTTCCTATAGTAATCATCGATTTTCGTTACCTAAAGTTTCAAACGCTCCCTATTAAAATCTATACTATATCGATGACCACATATTTTTTTCATCTATTTTAAACTACAAAAAGTCACTTTACCTCATATTAAAATTTGAGTAAATTTTCTATTGTAAAAAAT